GGTCGGCGGTGAAGGAGAGCAGGCGGGCGGCCCATGAGGGCCGAGCAGTGCAGGACAGAGGAACAGGAGAGGCAGGAGGCCGGGAGGAGGCCCTGCCTCCACCAGAGCCTGGAAACCAGAGAGAAAAGGCAGCCCTGCTCCCTTCAGGGCGGGAGAGGGCCAGCCTTCTGCACAGCCTGGGCCGGTGAGGCGGCTGAGGGTTTGAGGCCGCCAATCACTGGGGTTTACTCACAAGCCTTAAATAGAAACACATGAGACCCATCGAATGAGCAGCCGGGGGTGGAGGCAGGGAGGGAGGAGGGCCCAGACTGTTTACTGAAACTCAAGAAGTCCCAGCGCCCAGCCCACCCCCTGCCAACTTTTCCTGAAGTTCGGCTCCAGGCTCTGTTCCCGCCCCACTGGCTCACGGAAGGCCAGGCATGGACAGGATGGCCGGGCTCCACCAGCCTGGTTCCATGGAAGCCTGTGGGGCCTGTGGCTCCCTCTCACTGCAGGACCGCTCAGCAGCCTCTGCCCCGAAGTGCTGGGGTTCAGGTCATGCGCCAGCAGCCTCTGCCACCCTCCCCAGTGGCTTCAGGAGCTGGAGGGGTGCAAGGCTGGGGAGTATGCGCCGCCTCTGCCCCCATGGCCTGGACCAACGTGAGAGTCAGGAGCACACACCAGGCAGGAGGGCAGGCAGACTGGGCCCAAATGCCTTACAGCTCTGTGACTTGTGGGGCTGTGGCTTCAAACACTGCCGTCACCAGAACCTGTGATGCCACATGCCTGCTAGGGGACAAGAGGATCCAAAAGCCAGGGACCGAGGGTCACCTCCTCCAGGAAGTCTTCCCAGAGCACGCCCAGCCCAAAGGGATCTATGTGTCTTTCAGGCAGGCGCAATGACACACCTGCAGCCTCAGGACTTTGGAGGCTGAGGCAGGAGGAGCACTTGAGCCCAGGAGTTCAACACAGGACTGGGCAACACAGCAAGATCTCTTGTCTCAAACGCAAAAATGAAACTGCATCTCTGCCAGTCTCCCCGAAGACTGAGAGCTTCCCTCCACCCACTTGGCCCTAGAATGGCTGAGGGTCTCCAGGCTCCACAGGGCCCGCTTGGCCCACCGCCACATTCCCTGACTTCTGGGCCAGGCACATTTCCAACCCATCTCACCTCACACGTCCAATCTCAGGGACCTAACAGAGGCACAGAGGGCAGAAGACTCAGCCCAGTGCCAACCGAACCAAGTAGACCACGGGTGCCTGGGCTTAGAGGTCCAGCTCGAACTGGCTGGGGCCCCACAGCCAGAGCGAGGAGCACTGCTCAGGCCCCTGGGTTCTCCATCTGCCCAGAGCTAGGGGTGATGCCCCAGAAATCGGGGAAACCACAGGGGGAGCCCGCCTTGGGAGGAAAGGACTCCACTGCCCTGGGCTTTCCTCCATACCAGCCCCCATGGGGTCCTGCAGACCTGGGTGACACCGTGGGAGCTGAGGGGTGCCACGTGGGTGTGCACACAGCTAGACAGCCTATCCAGAGCCGGGATTGTATTTCCGGCAGAAACACAGCCGACAGCTGGGCAGCAGGGCGGGCCCCCGCCATGAGCGCCCCTACCTTCCTGGAGAATCAGCCTGAGCTCTTGGGGAGCCTCCAGCACTGTGGGACACAGGGAGGTCAGCGGAGAGAAAGCCAGGCGCCCACTCGGCACCTGCCTCTCAGGGTGCAGGACCCTGGGCTCCCCAAGCAGGGCGGGCCCGCAGGTAGAGCTCGGAGCAGGTATCCAGATGAGGATCGTGGAGCCCGGAGGCTGGCGGCGGTGATGTCATCCCAGAGGCGGCCCTGGATCCTTCCCAGCTAAGGTCCGGAAAATTGGGGGTGGAGGAGTCTGCCAGAGGGAGGGGGCAGTGGAAGGAGCTCCAGCGTCAGACAGAAGGGTCTGGCAGAAGCAGGGAGGAGGGGCAGACCCTGCCAGACGGCGGAGCCTCCCGGAGCAGGCGGCTTTGTGATGTGAGTCTCATCCGGGTGGGCCCTTGTGCTTCAGTACAGGGCCATGGCTGGGCCTCCCAGGCCCTGGGATTGCCACCCCGCTCAGGCCTTGCACCTGCACTGCTCCAGGCTCCACCTGGATGGAGCCCTGGCTCCTGCCCAATCCTGGCTGCCAATTTAAACTGCTAAACTATGCCCTTTCCAAGTCAGTTCCTTGCTCTAACACCTTCTGTGGCTCCCTGCTCCCTAAAGAACAAAGGCCAAATTCAAGCCCCTGTCATCTTGCAATCTGAGCTCCTGAAGTTCCCTGATCCCGCCCCAATTCCATACATTTATGATTCACACGCATGTGTCGAACACCTACTATGGGTCAGCAGCACTGTTCCAGGCAACTCCTTTCTTTCTGAGCCTTTGCCGAGGCCGCTGGCCCTGCCCAGGAAGACTTCCAGTCCGTGCATTACCTCCCAATTCCACCCGAGCGCTGCTGTCTCCTGGACCTTCCGTTGGTCACAGCACCCAGCCAGACTGGTGAGAGCTGATGCCCCAGGACTGGGGCCATGGACGGGACACAGGCCGCAATTACCACCCAAGACTCGTGGCACAGGTGCGCGGAGTTGCCGGTCCACTCCCGCTTTTCCTACACCTGTCCTGTGATCCTGGGAGGACACAGCCTCCCTGAGCTTCTGTCCTCAGGTGTAAACAGTGACAGCAACACGATCCTGTGGTGCTGTTCTGAGTGTGGAGTGAAGCAGCAGGGCTTACGGCCACATGGAAACTACAGACAGGCTTTTAGAGAGCAAACAGAGGGAACTGGTTGAGGAGGAGCCAGAGAAGCCGCGATTCCCAAGGCCTCGGCAGCACAGCAGGTCAGGGCAAGGACCACGGGCTGGGAAGTGGGCACTGCCGGGGGAGAGCCAGCTCAGCCCCAGGCTGCTCTGGGGCGCAGGTCAGGCGAGCAGTCCAGGACTCTTATCTGCCCGATCTCTGCTGTTGGCCTGTCCCCTCTGGGTTTCCTGTCTCACAGAATCCTTCAGCTTTCTGGATGGGAAACCAAGGCCCAGAGAGGCCTGGTGACTTGTTTAAGACTCCAGCCTAGATCCCCAGGTCGGCCGGGTCCCTCCCGGCGTTGGCCTGCCGGCCTCCCTGGGGCCTCTGGCTTCAAATAGCTGGACTCACCCTCAGCAGAGCCCTGGCCCACGGTGGTTTCTGCCACAGGCTCCTGCCACCGTCTTGGGCCAGGACCTCACCAAGGCCTCCTCAACCGCCCACAGCTGGTCCCTCCTGGCCTCCCAGCTATACACTGGGTGAATAAAATGCATTACTGCAGGCCAAGTGGGCTCCGGCAGCCTGGCTTGTGTGGAGGGGAAAAGGGACAGGCGCCCGGTGATTAGCTCAGGCCCAGGCCCTCATGGAGGGAACGCCAGGAGGGGGTTTGCACAGGAATGGCGGCCTCCCCCAGCTGCCTCTCCTCCTGGCCCCTCTCCAGGGATTCGCCTCCCATCCCCTGCCAACAGCTGTGGCGGGACAGGCGGAGCCTCTAACTTCTGAAGCGGCCCAGCATCCTAGCCTGGGTCTCTGCTCTCCGGAATGAAGGGACCCCCAGAAGACCGTACTGGAAACCCCACCTCCCTGTAGCAGTGAAAACCCTGCCCTTTGGGTCCAGGAAGACCAAGGGTTGGAGGCAAGGCCTTGAGTGGGGCCCAGCTCTGCCCAGACACAGCCAGGCCCGAGGCCCTGAGGGATGTGCTGGCCAGGCAGGCCCAAGCCAGGCTGGAGGCAGCTCCGAGCTCCACACTGCTGTCCTGGGGTGTCCCCACCCTCCCAGAATCCCCAGCTCCCTGTGGATCTCTGGAAACCAGGCTCAGTGACGGGACCTTGGCTCGGCCTCAGTTTGGCTGCCTGAAGTGTGCCGTGCCATCCCCGGTAGCCGTCTCTCTCACCAGGACAGCCCCTGAGGCAGGCAGCACTGAGGACAGTGGCCATGCCGCCTGCTGCTGCCCTGAACCAGGGCCTCCCACCCCGAGGTAGCCCTGGGCCCCTCAGGGAGTTGCACAATCACCCAGTGGCACAGCCAGGACGTGGCAGAGCTGGGTCTGAGAGCTGACAGGGTTTGCCCGGCAGGCAGAGGGCACAGTGGCTGTCAGCGGCTGCCACTCTCCAGGGAACCATGTGGAGCGGTGCGGCACCAGCTCCCCGTGTGTGCTGGGACACATTCACATGCATGCACGCACAGCACATGCTCGCAGGGCAGTACCTGTCACGTCCTTCTTGGGAGACTCAGCCCAGCTGGAGAGCCACACTTCCGAGTCCCCAGAGAGCCAGCGGTGGCAGCAGGAGGAGAACCAGAGAAACAACCGTTAGGCAGTGGGAGTCCACAGAGATCGGAGAGTGGCTGCACCCGGGGCTGGTGTGGGCGGAAGGCGGGGGCAGGGAGGAGGGATTTCCTGGTGCTGGGCCGCTGCGGGGCGTGGACTGAGTGATTACAGAGCCCGGGCAGGGATAATGAGGTGTCTGTCGGGAGGCAGGAATCCTCTGAACCACAGAGCATGGTGCCTGGTCCCTCCCGGGATGGGCCCCTCAGGCTGTCGTGACCTTGCGTGTGGCTGGCCCCACAGGCTGGGTGGGGTTCTCCTGGGACAGCAGGCTCAGCCACCCAGGCCCAGAACCACTGCTGCCAGGGTTGGCGCTGGAAGGCCAGGTCTCTGGGTGCCACATCCCCGAGGCCTGGAGTCTTACCCGAGTGGCTACACAGCCCCGCCCGGGGAGGTGGCAGCCCCCTCAGAGCCAAGGCCCCTGCCCCACCCAGAGGCACTAGTGACCAGGCTCGGGCTGCGGTATCCTGCTCTGGGCTCAGAACCCTCACCTGTGCAACAGGGTGGAGAGGTCCTCCTGCTGAGGGAGGAACAAGGGCAAAGCACCACCCGGAACAGGGTAGGACCAGGAGATGCCTCGCTGTCAGCACTGCACCTGGCGGAGCGCTCACGGCCTAGTCACACCTGCTGGGCTGTCCGCCATCTCCAAGGGGTGTAGTGCTCGCTGCAGTGGGACAGCCACGAGACCAAGGCGTGAAAGTCTGAGAGACAAGCCCTTGCACTGCCCACCCAGTGCAGGCCAGCAGGGATGTTGGACCCGTTCAGGGGCAATCGCCAACAAGCAGCAGCTCACGTTCCTGCAGCATTTCCGGTCTCCCTAGCTTCACAGTGAGCACGTTCACAGAGTAACTCTCTTCCTTTTCATAACTAGCCTACAATGCTAAGTATCAGGATTCCTTCCATTTGAAACTGAACCTGAGGGCCAGGGATTTGGCTCAGTGGTTCCACCGCCTGCCTTGCAAGTGCAAGGACTGGAGTTCAACCCCAGGTGCCCAAAAAAAGAAAAGAAAAGAAAAGACAAAGAAAAAAGAAACTAAACCCAAGAGTACTAAGAAACCCACTGAAGGCTGCACAGTTAGTAGGATATACACATCTTACAGGGACACAGACTTCAAGCAATAAAACTTGGCTTGTCACCACTGAAAGCATCCCCCTCTCTCTGTTGCTCAGCAACCTGCCTTCCCCCTGCAGGTTGTCTCCTGTGGGGAACTGGGGAGCCGGCCCCTCCAGATCTCACCGTAAACCCACACAGTGGGGCTGTGGTAGAGGCCTCTGGAGGTGACTGCCTGGGCTTCAAGCCAGGCTGTGCTCTGGGGTAGAGGGACAAGCAGAGCTGGTCTTGAGGTCACAGGCTCTCACTCTCCTGAGGCCCAGGGACCAAGACTGGCACCAAGGACCTCCAGTCTAAGCTCCTCTGGCCAATAGAGGCCTGATTTCAAAATGCGGGGGGGCTTTCCTGCCTGGTGCCCATACCTTGCTAGCTCCCAACTTCCTGCTGCAAAATCTGGGGATGTGGCTGAGTGGGCTGCTCTCTGCCCTTGGCAAGGCCAAGCCACACCCCGGGGAGGCTAGTGTCTGGCCCACCCAAACCCACCTGGCCTTGCACAGCCCACCCTGACCCTGCTAGGTCAGCCTGTCTCTTCACCCAGAGGGCTTCTCGTCTGTACACCTTCCTTTAGGGGGTCTTCATTGGAAATGCTTGAGAAAGGTGAACTTCTTTCAGTGAGCCAATTTTAGGCATCTGCCTGGGCACGGAAAGCCCAGGAAAATCTGTTTTTCAAGAACAGGGGTCTGTAAGTAGGAGGAGAATAAATCTTTTAGGCTCTGGGGAACTCTAGAGGCCACCCAACTCCACTGATGCAGTGTAAAAGCAGTCACAGAAAGCATCAGTGGGCCGTGTTCTAATAAAACTTTATTAACAGAAACACATGGTGGGCTGGACCGGATTGGTGGGCAGACAACCTGGTCTCATGCCTGTCCCCTTCACCTCCCATTAGCAGGCTGTCCCTTTCCTGTCCCCAAAGGAAATAGGAAGCAGACCAGAAACAAGGCTGCTTTCCTAAGTCTTTCTGAAACATGACTTCTCAGTCCCTGGATATGCAGAATTAATTCACTGGAGCACGCCCTCACTCACCTGGTATGGGAAGGACCCTTCACCCACACCCCCTGGCTGGGAGGCAGACAGGGCTGCCTGAGGCTTGAGGGGTGGCGAGATGGAGGGATGGGGTGGAGGGGCCAGGCACGTGTGGCTAAGGAATAGCTGTGACGGACACAAACCAACTGCTTCCTGCCCTCCCTCTGGACTCTTCCTCCCTCTCCTCTAGTGACAAGGAACCAAGGGCCCCGCAGAATGAACGGGGCATCAGACCTGGGTCTGTACCCAGAGTTTTGCTGTGTGACCTCGGGCAAGTGGTTTAACTCCTCAGGCCCTCACTGCTCACATCTGCAGAGCCAAGCACTTGGGCCACTGGTCTCTGACCAGCTGTTTCAAGTCCTAGACTTTCTAGCAGAAACCTGCTAATCTCCGTCACCACGTGTGTGACAGCCGAAGAGGATCTTCCAGGGAAACCACTCGGAGCAGGCTCCGTGTATGGAAAGTGCCTCTAAGAGATGGAGACTCAGGGGCTCCACAGGCAGACTAGAGCAAGGGACAGGGCTGGCCCTTGTGCTCCCTCCTCCCTCCCCAGAAGTGGGCACGGAGACCCACTGGCTGTGCAAGGGGCCTCAGGGATGGGTGACAGGGACAGCTCTGCAAGAAGCCACGGGCCGTGGGCATGGGGCCCCTGTCCCCGGTGCCTGTGTCCCTGGCACAGCCACCCTTCTGGCTGGTAACACCAGAAGCACTGTGTCACCAGGAAAGGCTTGCCGGAACCCACGTGCCAAGGTGGAAGAGAAGCAGCAGTTCAAGCACGAGGGCGATCGGAGGCCCCAAGCAGACACCGTTATCCACCGTGTGCTGCGGCTCCTCCTAGGCCTTGGTCCTCCCCACCCCAAGAGCCCACCTGCCCCATCGCTCCAACACCAGGCCGCTGCATCCCGGACTGAGCTCGAGAGTCATGAACTAGCACGCACCCGTAATCCCAGCTATCAGGAGGCCGCCAGCCTGGGCTACTTAGTAAGGCCCTATCTCAAAATAAAACTTTGGCAAGGCCTGGGTGAGACCCTGGGCTCAATCCCCAGCATGGCTAGACAAATGAACCTTTTTTCTTTATAAATTACTCAGCCTCAGGCATCCTGTTATACAAGAAAAAAACTGCATGACAGCCATGTGAGGTGCTCTCCCGGTGTGAGTCGCAGGGCAGGAGTCACCTGCCCCATCCTGCAGGGTGACAGATGGTGGCAGAGGTGGCTCAGAGCCAGACCCTGGTCCCACTTTGGCCGAGCAGGCAGGGCAGGCCTCACCAAGCCTGGCAGGGTCTTGGGGCCGCTGCACTGCTCTCTGTTACGGGGCTGAAATCACTCATAATTTATGAACAAGAGGCTCTGTGTTTTCATCTCGCACTGGGCCTAGCAAATTGTGTAGCTAGTTATTATGCCCAAGGCCATAGGGCTCCGGGCCACAGACTTCAGAGCTAAATAAATACAAGTACCGTATGTAAGAAGTTTAGTAGGGGTGCGTTTATGATGGGCATCTTCTGAAAGATGAAAAGCAAACCCTGCATGTTTGTCTCTAGGGTCTTCCTCCTCTGCTAAATCTCTGGTTTCAGAGTAATGCCCATAGCTGGGGAGGACTCAAGGCCAGAGGAGGAGACGTGTGGCTAAGAAGGCACAGCAGGCAGGGCTGGGGCTGGGGACGCTTGTGTGAGGTGTGGTGCACTACACTCTATGGGTGGCATCTTCTTGACTCCTCCCAGCAACCTCCACTTACAGACCAGGGATTCGGAGGCTCACGGAGGGTAAGGCTCTCTGGGGCACACCATGTTCTGGGTCCTCCCCAGCCCCTGGCCACCACCTTACTCACTTCTGCCTGCTTCTCTCTGTACACTCAGCCACATTCCTGCTCATGCTGCACTCAGCAAGAGAGGGCCTGCCTCCTCCCCTCCCCGAGTGCTGGCTTCCCAGAAGCCGGGTGCAGGGGGCAGCCCCACCCGGGGCAGCAACGCATCCAGGCCCAACCCTAGGGCAGCAGCTGAGCTGTGTGGTCAGGGAACAGCCAGTGTCCTCCTGGCTTAGGTGGGGATGGGGCAGGCTCAGGGCCGGAAGCGGGGCCAGATGGGTCAGGACAGCCCAGGGGTATGGGCGCAGGGGTAGGGCTGCCTGGCAAGGGTGGAGCAGGTCTCCGTGTCTAGGGGTGCTGGGCACTGCGCCCAGCAGCTGCTGCCTGACCGGGTGGCCCCCCAGTTCCCAGGGTCTCACCCTGGGATACAAGCTCAGCTCTGCTGAGTCCCGGGATCCCAGCCACCCTCCCTGGGGTGGTCTGCCTTGGTGGTCCTCACTCACTGGGAAACCCGGTCCTGCTCCCCCACCCGCCAGCTCTCCCAGAGGCCCAGCCTGTGCGGTACATGGGAGCTCACAGAGAAGAGCAGCAAGGTGGGCTGAAGTCTGTAGCCGGGGCCCCTCCCCTCCCAGTCCCCCGAGATCCAAGAGGAGTGGGTGGGTGCTGGAGTTGGGGGGCTCCGGCCTGTCAGACTGTGAGAATCTGGCCCAGCTGTGCAGAGCCTCAGCTGCAGACCACCTGACTCCCCTCGGGGCTCACAGCATGGTGAGGGCACAGCCACCTTCCCAGATGTCCCCATCTCCTCACAAGCCCAGTCAGCTGGGTGACAGGGGCCCTGGCCCCTCCGGCCTCATGACTGGCATTGCTACTAAAGTGCGTCCTTCTTCCCCAGGGCTGTCCAGACCCAATGGGGACTCGGGCTGGACGCTGCCATCACCTGGGCAGGAGAGGAGTGTGGATGGGCTGAGGCTGGCAGGAGAGCTCGCTCTGAACGGGCTCGAGGACACTGGCTTCTAGGCTCACCCATCTCCTTCATCCTGCCGTGTTAGACTGGCTGCACAACACCTGCCCAGGACTGGAGCCCTGGCACATAGTAGGTGTTTAAGAGAAAGGTGTTGTCTCTCCAGTTACAGCTCCCTCAGGTCTTAACGCTGTCTGCACCCTACCAGGGCCTAGCCTACAGCAGGGCCCAGTTAATCCTCAGGGGCTGCCAGGAGGCTGAGCGCTGCTCAGTCCTGCGGGTCTCATGGAGCAATGGGCGGAGCCGAGCCTGACACTCAGGAGAGCTCTGGCACTGCAGTCTGGCCCCATCTGGCCACCTTCACTTCCTGAGCAAGGTGGGCTGAAGTCAGACAGGCCTTGCTGCGGTGGACGCAGTGGTTCATGCAGACCCCTAGGCCTGGCAGAATACCCTAGAAAGGCTTCTGGCTTAAGCAGCTGTTGCAAAGTACGCAATTCAAAGGGATTTTTAAAAAGTTATCTAAAACCACAGCCGAGTGTGGTGGTACGTTTATAATTTCAGCACTCAGGAGGCTGAGGTAGACTGACGGCAAGTTCAAGGCCAGCCTGAGCTCCATGGCGAGTTTGAGGCCAGCCAGGGCTATGCAGCAGGACTCTGTCTCAAAATAATAATTGCTGCTATTCTCCACACCCACTCTGGCCTTGCGACAAGATGGATGTGGCAGGAAACAGGAGTCTGTGCGGGGACAGTCTGGCAGGAGCAGGCCCAGCTCTGCCCCCAGTGTGCTGGGCTCCCGGCTCTGGGCCTGCACCAATTCCCTGGGCTCTCCGACGCGGCATACACAGTGCACAGTGCTGCTCAGGAAATCCCTGTCTCTCACGTGACGCGATACCCACAGTGGCAGCTGTGGGCCTGGAGGACAGGGAGGGTCAGGAGCGCTCGAGCCCGGGGATGACGGACTTAACCCTTGGCACAACCCAGGCCCCTGCTAATGTGAGCGTCCCCACGGGTGGGCAAAGCCAGCAGAGGCTGTGCTGACCGTGGCTTCCTGTGCGAGGGCAAGCATGGGAAAGTGAGTCGCTCCTCCAGCTCCCTGGCCTTCCCTTGGGGTGAGTCTGTCCTCCAGTCCTACTCCAGCATCAACCACTGGCCTTCCAAGGAATGGAGGGAGTCTCCTTCCTGAAGTAGGAGGTTGGAAGAGCCCTGGAGCAAGCTCTCCCCAGGTGCAAGGATTCTGCAGTACAGCAGGCTCTGTATGGGGTCCAGGAAACGGCGCCACACTGTGGGCACTGGCATGGGGAAGGGGCAGGTGCCCGGGCCAGGACAAGGCACGTGGGGACAGCGGACCTGTGACTGGCCAGGTCCTGTATGTCCTCTCACCTCTCTGCCCGGGGGCTTACTAGCCGTGGGAGGCTCTGTGTCACTCCGCCCCACCTTCGTAGTCCTTGTGACACCACAGTTACCCCGGGGGTGGCCATCCCACCTCTCTGCGAGTCCTGGGAGGACAGGGGCCTCATCCTGTCCTTCTTGGTACCACTGGGCCTGATCCCAAGGCCTGGCACACAGAAGGTACTCAGACGCTCCCAGACAAATCCACAGGGCAGCCACGACCAGAGCCAGCAATGCCAAGGTGTGGCACTAGCATCTATTTGCAAACTTGCTTCCCAGCCACTTGGCCCTCAGGGGTGTCCTCCCTGCCCAGCAGGACAGGGCGCTGCTGGTGTCTACCAGCCTGGGCCTGGAGCAGAGATAGGCTCAAGTCGGGAGGAAGGCGGGACCGGCTCTCTTGGTCTGATCCCTGTGGTGAGAGCAAATGAAGAACGGGAGCCCCTAGGAGACCACGCTCCCATCCCCGGACAGATCTGAGTGCAAGGTCTCTCCGGGGCTGCTGGCTTGGCACCTGTCACAGGCCATCACCACTGCTGTACAATGACCTTGCCCTTCTGCAGGGGACCTTAGGTACCCACCCGACCCTGGGCCAACAGCCAGAAGCCTAGGTCGGTCCAGGGCTGAACTGAGGATGCCTGGGTGACAGGGAAGCAGTCCCCAAAGACCAGGGGTCCTCGGAGGCCCTGCACCTATGACCCAGAAGCAGTGTCAAGGGGAGGGATGTGACCAGGTGCCAGCTCTTCTTCTGAGCACAGGGATGGGAAGGGGCTTCTGATGTGACCTCACTTCTTGGTGCAAGACTCTGGCTCTAACGTGAACTAAATCCATCTTCTCGACAGCTGCTGGGATCACATCTGGGAAGAAGACCGGGGCCGAAGCAAAGAGAATCGGGGAAAAGCACTTTGTTTCCTGAAAGCTTAAAGTTTTCCTGAAACTTTGAAAAAATTCTTTTGGTCTTCATTTCAAAACTGCCTAGTTATAAAAAAAATGCCATGGGCCAATTCAGCGACACATGCCACATTTCTGTTTCTAGACAAAGTAAACTGAGACCAGAAGAAGGTGCTAGACAGTAGGTAACGCATGCTTGCCCCATCTGTTTTTCCGCTGACTTCGTCATTACCAGAACAGTGGTCCCCGCTGTCAGACGCCTATAAGCCAGGAAGCTGGAGCCAGGGACAGGTTGCTTGCTGGCTGAGGGCTGCAATGGGAAGCAATTCCTTGCTGGGCCGCAACCTGGGGGTCTCCTTTCGTTCCTGGGGAACTTTAAATGGAGCAATCCAAGGCCCCTCAGATGGTCATTCTCCAAGGCCCCAAATGCTGGGCTGGCCTTTCAGGGACAGGTCCCCCACACCCACCTCTCTTCCATGGCCATAAACTGCTGCCCCTCTGCCACCCTGCTTGAAGCCAGCTGATTATGGACTAAAACCTCCACACACTGTGAGCCAAACAAACCTTTCCCATTTTCGTCAGGTATTTTATCTCAGCAACTAGAGAAAAGTAATCAGACAGGGGGAGAGGAGAAGGCCACTGTCCCTGCCCATCCCTCTGTGAGCAGGGCTGGCCCAGGCATACACCAGGAGCAGGCTCTGCCCTACAGCCTGACGGGCGCTCATCTGGGGAGACCTCACAGCCCTGCTCCCTCTGCTCACCCCTCCACTGCTTCCAGGAGGGGCGAGGCCAGCCGAAGACCAGCTTCCACCCTGCCTCCCATGGACGAGGACAGGCCACAGCTCCTCTCCTGGTTGTTTCACCTGTGAAAGACAGTGAGTAGAACTGGCTTTTCCAGATAGCAGCCTACACATGCGACAGGTCTTACTTTAAGCAAACACACTACTGAAAGCCAACCTCATAAAAAGAGAGATTAAGCCGGTATTAGTCACTGCCTGCAAAGGGACCCTTCACCCAGAAATTCCCTGTGAGCAGTGGGCTCCCCTTGGGCTGCCTTGGGACAGAGACAGTCCTACAGGACTCCACAGCCGCAGTCTCGGACACAAGCAGACCCTTTGGGCCCTGGTTCAGAAGGCATCAGACCTCAGGGGAAACCGAGTTTGGCTCTGACACCCACGATCTGATCCCGTGTCCGCCCGACTAGCTGAACTTGGGCAAGTTCCTTAACCTTCCTTTCCTGGTCCATAAAACAGGGACAAGCCCAGCTACCCTGCCATCATGAGGCTTCCTGGCCAGCAGATGTTCTGCCTTTCCTGTATGAGGCAATCCTGGAGGGGCAGGAGCCAAAGCCAGAGCTCTGTCCCCCTGGAGAGAGGACATCTCCTTGCTACCCCCAGTCGCAGGAAAAAAAAAAAACCCAAAAAAACCCCCAAAACCGCACAGAATCCTGGCCATTCCTCTGGGCCAGGCGCCTCTCATGTGCCAATTTTCAATCCTCCAACAACCTGAAAAAGGGCTGCTGCCCTCCCATTTTACAGATAAAGAAACTGAGGCCAAGGGAAGCTAAAGACTTGGTCAGGACTACAAGGCTGGGACATGAAAGGAGGCAGTCTGGCTCCAGTCAGCGTTCTTAACAGTGGCTTCTTAGCAGCGGCTGCATCTATTTGCTATCTCCTTTGGGGCTCCCAGTACAGAAATAAATGTCTCAGTCGTCTCTGTACTCTGGAGTCGAAGATAAGGCCAATTTCTCTCCTCCTTCCGTAATCCATAATAAACAGAACTGCAACAAAGCCGACTGTGCCAACTGCATTCAAACCCTACCTGGCTTGTCTGATGCCAAAACCCAAACTCTCAACCCCGAGGCACAGATGGAGCCACCTCAGCTCTGACCCATCGTACTGGTTCCTGCTCCATCCTGGCGATGGAAGCTGGCTGAGCTCAGCGCTTGTGCGGGAGGAGAAAGTAAACAGAACTTCACAGGCCATCAACACTCCCCTAAGAGGACAAGCTTGTAATGCGGACTGAGCAGCTTCATTTACATTTTAACGAGCAGGAGAGCTGCACAGCCCGGGCCCTCATCTGGCCACGGAGTCCATGGCTGCCTGCGCCACCTAGTGGTAACCTTAGAACTCGGGTGGCTCCTGGAGCGCAGAGAGGACCCGTCAGCCGGTCAGTCGCAGGTGCCTCGGCCACCTCGGAGGGGGATCTCCAGCTAAGCATGAGCCGCTTGAAGACCTGGGTCCTGGCTACCTTCCTTGTGATGGTCAGCGTGACTGGCCAGCTGGCTGGGCACAGTCCCGTTATACCCGTCCAGGTGTTGCTGGGGAAGGGATTGTTGTGGTTGGGATTAAAGGCCATAATCAACTGACCTTACTCCTGCCACTCTGGGGCCTGCGCCAGTGAGCTGACAGGCCTCACGGGCAGGACTGAGCATCCCTTGGAATTCAGCCCACTCAGCACTGCCTGCGACTGGGCAAGCCTGTACCCTACGGTAACTCTCCTCATCTGCCTCCTGCTGGTTCTGTCCCTCTTGCTAGGTGATGGTGAAGCTTTTAGAGCTGTCAATGATGACAGACAGCCCGCTGGGGCACGTGTGCCATAGGTTCACTGCCACTGCCCTATTGAACCTTGGGTACAAAGGAACAGGCCAGGCAACCCAGCAGCAAGCCAAGGAGCTGTCCAAGACCATGTGACTGGCAAGCCAGAGACGACTCAGGAGCGACCCCTGGAGGCCACGCCCAGTCAGCATCATCCAGCCGGTGCCACCAGGTCCCCCCTCCAGAGCTGCTGAAGCCCAGGTCAACTCTCACCTCTCCTCCCTGCTCCTCTCCATCCACCAGCCACAAAGCCACTCTCGGACCAATCAGATCATTTCGTCCTCCATGCAGGATCCTTTACTGGCTTCTCTAAATTCCTAAAGTGGCCTGCGAGGCCCTCCACAGTGTGATGCGACACCCCTGCCAACGCACCCTGTGCTGTCCTCTTCCTGGACACAGGCGGCCACCACGCGTCACCCTATTAGCCAGTGGCCTCGAGCCTCTGGTCACCTCCTCCTAATGGCACCATCTCACGTGGACAGTTCTCCTCCCGGGCAGAGACACGCTGCTGGGCCTGGCACATGGCGGTGCTCAGAGGCTGGGCCCGGGGCCTGCTCTGCAGACATGCCACAGGTACCCCTGCGCTCTATGCTGTGGATGTGCTCCCCTGGAGCTCCAAGGCCCCGAGCTCTTGGCCGCGAACCAGAATGATCCCCTCTTGCCAGACAATGTCCCTGCTTGTGTCTTGTGCCCTCCTGCGCGCTGCACACCCTGAGCCGCTCCCTGCTCTCTCGATGGCAGTAGACAGACACAAGCCTGGACACATAAGGCAGCTAGGGGCAGTCGGTGGTGTACAGGGAAAAGCGAGGGCAGAGGGCAGCCAGACAGTGGAGGGTTGGGTTGGCTTCTGTGAGAAGGGGACAAGCCGAAATCAGAGCCCTGCAAGTGAAAAACACTGGGAAGAAGGAACAGCAAGTACCTAGTCTGCAGCAAGGAACAAGCTCGATGGGGCTACGGAACAGAGGCGAGGCCGCACGGAATGTACCAGTTGGGAGTGTGTGTTAGGACCGGGGCAACCCACACAGGGATACAGTGCAGGTCAGGAAGGCACCCTGGGCCAAGCTACGCACAAATCCAAAAACCAGAATAAGGGTGTGAGCCCAACAATTCCCTGCGGAATTTGGGGTTTGGCCTGCTCCAAGAGCGCCCCTAGTGGTGGTATGCAGAATGGCGGGCAGGGTGGAAGCCCAGACACAAGGCAGGAAGTTGGGGTCTTCCCGGAGAGCAAGGGACTTTTAACAGGTGTGATGGCGGAGGCTGGAGGCCAAGTTGGAAGATTCGAGTCAAGAATGACTTATAAGGGCCAGGGATTTAACTCAGTGGTTCCACCACCTGCCTTGCAAGCGCAAGGTCCAAATTCCATCCCCAATACAAAAAAAAAAAAAAAAAAAAATGCTGCTGAGCCGAGAATGACTTATAGCTGTTGGGCTTGCGGAATGGGAGAGTGGTCTCAGTTTCTGAGAAGAAGATGCTGGGAAGAGCAGGCTGAAAGGCTGAATGGACGGAAGCTCTGCAGGTAAGGTCAGTGGTCCTGCCTCTTCCAAAAGGCTGTAAGCTGCCTAACAACTCTCTGCTGAGCCGGCCCTTCCTGAGCCTTGGGCATGGTGGCTCAAGTCTGTAATCCCAGCACTTTGGGAGGCTGAGCTAGGAGGGTCACACGTGAGGGATAGCCTGGGCTACTTAGTAGACTTAGCAAGACACTGTCTCAAACTGGGTCTCAAGCCTGGCGTGGTGGCGCACGCCTATATTCCCAGCACTCGGGAGGCTGAGGGCAGAGGATCGAGGATCGAGTTCGAGACCAGCCTGGCCTACATAGTGAGTTCCAAGCCAATCTCCACTACATAGTGAGACCCTGTCTCAAAACAACAACAGACCCTGTCTCAAAATAAAAAGGGCTGGAGATGTAGCTCAGTGTGAAAGGCCTGTGTTCAATCCCCAATAACTGGGAAAAGGAAGAAGAGGAAAAGGAGGAGGAGAAGAAAAGGAATATTTAGTAGTGGTTTGTGTTTCCAATTAAGAGGGAAAAAATGTAATATTAAACTTTCATGCACCTAACAGCATATTTCTTCAGAAAGCATATTTCAAGGCAAATAAATAAGGCGTAGTGAGAGCCTGTGGCCCCAGCTACTCAAGAGGCTGGGCTGTGTCAGGAAGGGACACTCAAGGAGGAGCTGAGGCTCTGGGATGAAGCGGTGAGAGGTGAG